CTGCCCTGAATACAGCTTTTTAGCATGGTCCCAAACTTCCTTGGCTGTATCAAGAAACATGAAATTCGTACTAATCTTGGGTTCCATACTATTCCATAACCAAGTTATAATCTGTGCATCTTCTTGTTCCCAATCACCATACTCATGAGACTCAGTAGAGGGTTTTTCTTCCCTTATATGCTTTACTTTCTTCTTTGCTTTAAGAAAGACTTCTATGGATTTTGCCCAAGGCACATAGTTTCTCCATTCAACTTGATAGAAGTCATCTAAACATTCAGGTAGTCGGTGGGAACCATCACACTAGTTTTACTTTCACTGTTGTCTCCCATGGCTGTAAATTTTTTTTCTTATTTCACCTCTCACCATACTGCACACTATACCACACTGCACTCAGCACCACTTGTTTCTGAATTCTTCACTCTCCATACAACCCTACTACACGACTACCTAAAAACTCACCGCACTACTTGCAACTCACTCACCCTTCGAACCACACTAAAATTTGCATAAACCCTAACACACGACAATCTGAATTTTCACCACACAACTTGGAACACATCAACCATTCGTTTCACATTGAAAAACTGCACAAAACACTTACCTAATCACCAGAAAATTAAGCTGTACTCGACACTCCACTGCATCACTCGGATCAGCCCTCTTCTCTCCATCGATTAGGGGGGGCTTCCTATAAACCACTGCAAACACCCACGAACTTGCTGACCGGAGGCATAGAAATCTCCAAGGGAAGAGGGCGATCACTCCTTTTCAGCCCCTTTCCTTATCTCCAACTAATGATGAAGAAAAAATTAAAAAATCCTAGGCTGGATGTGTGAAGATCAAAATTCTGGGCAGATTCGGTTTTGTCACAGTTGTTCTGATACCATATTATAATCTAATCTGCACTTGAGTTCTGTTAGAATAAGGATTGGAGAAGTAATAGAAAGACTAGAAGAAGAAGGAGAAGAAGAAGAATTCTGGTTCGAACAAGAGAGATTAATCACCTCTCTAGTCAGCCAGATTTAATTTATACGTTTCTACTTAAAAACAAAAAGACTCCTTTGCCCCTACTTAAGTATGGGACACAACCACTAATAAAACATTACACATCAGCAGCTTTAAACATAAATATAAAGACCAAAATACCCCTACATAGTCGACAATAACAGATGCCAAAGAAGAAGGTGCCAAAACTCCAAAGGGTTTTAGACCCATAAGTCTGATTGGGAGCCTCAACAAAATTATATAAGATGTACTCTTTGGAAGATTGGAGTAGGTATTACCCTCGGTGATTTCACAATATCAAAGAGCTTTTATTGAAGGCAAAGTGTAGATCGGATCCTAGTGGCAAATGAATGTCTGGTAGAGAAGAAGGGTGGGGGGAAGGGGCTTATTTGCAAGTGGGACTTAAAAAAGGCTTATGATCTAGTGGATTGGTCTTTCCTCCTAGAGATCGTGGAGAAGATTGGCATGGGCGAATGGTGGAGAATGTGGATTAAAGGTTGTACAAGTTCATTGCACTTTTCAATTTTAATCAATGGTGTTGCTAGAGATTTCTTCCTTGCAAAAAGGGGCTTGAGACAAGGGGGACCCATTACCTCTTTCCTGTTTATTCTGATCATAGAGGTTCTAAGCAAAATAATTATCAAAGCTTACTTGGATGGCTTAATTAGAGGTTGGAGGGTAGGAAGGGATGATGTAATAGTAATCCACCTACAATTTGTTGATATAATTTTATTTTGAGAAGGAGACAACCTGGATCTTTTGAGGAATCTAAAGCAGTTGGTTGTATGAGAATGTTTCTAAGTTGAGGGTGAACTGGGGAAAAAGTGGAGTAGCAAGGATTAACTTGGAATAGGAGGAAGTTCATAGGTTGGCATAGATTTTGGGGGTGTGAGGTTAGAAAGGGTATTGAGGTTTGTTTTTGAGAAGACAAGACCGCCCCCCTTTCAACTAATGTTATGCATCTTTATTCTTCTTAATATAAAAGATTTTTTATTAAAAATAAAGAAATAAAATAAGATCCCCCCTTCCTCTTCATCCTCCTCCTAAGTCCTAACCCCCCTCCTCTTAAGGAGGCTTATGCTTCCTTGTGTTTGGGAGGCTTATGCCTCTTGCGTTCTGAACTACACCTCACGCCTCTAGGTAGTGGAATGCCTCACGTCACGCCTCCGTGTTTTAAAACATTGATTCAACTACTGGTCAAGGTGGAAATTGTTTTCTTTGACCAAAATGTGGAGGACACTAGAATTTGGACAATCCGTTTGATGGTTTTTTCACTTGTGCCTCTTCTTTAATAACCTTACTATGTGTAGTCCATTGGTGGAGAATCTTTTGGTGAATGAGATTTGGAGTAAGCCTATTCCACTCAAGGTTTCAAGCTCTGTGTGGGGAAGTATTCATTAGAAAGATAAATACCTGTGATGTGCTACAGAAAAAAGGTTCAATAAATGCCTTTCTCCTCATATGTGCTTTTTATGCACAACAAGTGGTGAGACCATTCCCCATTTACTAATCTCCTGTCCTTTTGTGCTTTGTATGTGGGAATAGTTTTTTTCTTCTTTGGTTGTAGGTGGGTTCCTGCCCCGATATTGTATCTTCAGCCCAAGCTTCTTGAAGCAACCAAAGAAGAGAGGGAGAATTATGTGGAAAGCAGTAAGGGCAGCAGTTGTGTGGACTATATAGGAAGAAAAAATGGAAGAATTTTCAATAAGAGCATATCTAAGGAGGAGATGGTAGGCATTATACAAATAAAAGTTACACATGGGGTAAAGATAATGGAAACCTTTGAAGTTCTCTTGGTGAATGGCATAATAAGAACCTGGGTGGAGGTGGCACAATTGTCTAAAGGACAAGAACGGGTAATCATGGAGTGGAAACTTCTTAAAACTGAATTTTGATGGGAGTTCCATGGGCAATCTGGGGATGGTAAGATGGTGGCGATGTATTCAGGACCTATTGGAGCTGGAGACTATAAAAGCAGAAGTGATAGCTTTGCTGCAGGCTTTAAGTTTTGCAAAGCAATCTAACTTCCAAAGGGGACTCTAAAGTGATCATCTCTTGGACAAAGTGCAGCTGTAGTGTACCTTGAACCTTCAGACATGCACTTAAGGAAATATAAAGCCTATCTAGGGAATTAAATGCCACTTTTAAGTGGATGAGAAGGACAGCAAATGGGACAGCTGACTCTTTAGCAAAATAGGGAGTTAATAGACAGAAGCTGTTTTGGGCAACAATGTGAATCTTTTGTAATCCTTTGTAATTTTGGGTTGCTGGACCTTCCAACCTACTGTACTAATTTTAGTGATATAATTAATAAAACTTCTTCTTGCTATTTAGAAACCATAGAAGAGAATGGGTCCATTTCACTACAAACACATTAATCTCTAAAAACTATTGATTTTGGTTAAAAAAATGATGGGTAGTCAAACTGGTAAACTGTTCACTGGTTGATGATTAACTATTATAATTAATAAATTTCAAGAAACACATTAAAAATAAAAAATAGAGAGAGAAGGGGGATTTGGAAGTGAGAGAGAGATTATGAAAGAAGAAAAAAAGAGCATACCGGTAGCAATGATGGTGGCAGTTAGGGGTGTAATCAAGCCGAGCCAAGCCTAACTTTGGCATGCCTTGGCTTGATTTAGCTAAAATACTACTAGGTTTGAGCTCAAGTTCGAGTTCGGATCGATTAAATATAAACATGACATTTTTTTATAGTATATAGTATATTATTATATTATATAAATATAAAAATATTTTACATAATATATATTATAAAATATATTTTTATATTCTATAATATTAATATTAATCAAGCTAGGTTTGTGAACTTTCGAGCTGAACCTTTTATTGGACTTGCTCGAGTTTGAATAACCAATCAAGCCTAGGTGACTAGGCGACAAGGTGCCCCCTTGTCGCCTAGCCTTGCCTTGGCGCCTTAAAAACTATGCTATCTTGGTTGAAGAGAGGGAATGAGTAATCACAAAGGACAGAACCTTTGAAAAATTTGAAATTTTGACTTAATTGATATACTTTTCGTTTGTTTTAAGATGCCTTGGTAAATCACCCTTGTCCACCTTCACCATCTTGGTTGAAGAGAGGGAATGAGTGATTGCAAAGGAAATTCACCTTTGTACAGGGGTGGTTTTAGGTTTCAAGAGATGAAGAGATTTCTTTCCTTTAAGCTGATGAGAGGGAGCAAGGGAAGGAGAGTGAGAGAGGAGGGGCGGTGTGAACAAGAGTGAATGAAAGATGAGGAGCACTTACCAGAGGTCGCTGGCAGTGAAAAGATGAAATAGTGTCATCTTCCATCTTTTGAATTTTGTTTTGGTAAAGGATGACTTGAGAAAATATGTTCATACAACCAAGAATGAAAATTCATTTCTTGCATGATATTTTTTAGTGCTACGGGGTACGGGCAAAGCTATTTTCCAACCCAAGGCTCATATCTCATTCTTTTTGGAATGAGTCCTGGGGCAAGAATCACAGAACCAAACAAATAACGTTAGCTCATTCTAGCCCAGAATGAGAAAGAATTTTGGGAAGGAAGCCTGTAGCAGTGAACCAAACATGGCCTAATAGAATGACATAATGAGAGATTGATATGCTCCTTTCTGGCTTTTTTCTTTCAGTTTTTTGTATACAGATGTATATCTTCATAATATGATCCGTATTTGAACAGTAGGGACTTTTTCTTTATTCTTTTGAAACTTTCTTCTATATTAATGAAATTATACCATTGCCTATAATAAAATTTACAACTTTCATCTCTCCATTGGTCTGATTTGATTTAATTTATTTTGCTGTTGTCTTTTTATTTTATATTCATTGATTTTGCTTTTGTTTGCCCATAAACTTTGCTCATATGCCCATTAATTTCTTTTAGTAGTTTTATCTTCATTTTGTTTGTCAACAGTAAAGAGTTGAATTTTTCTATTTACATATTCTGCATTCATTTAAAATTTTAAATATGTTGAATTTTTTGACATCTTATGCAGGGTGTGTGCCATCTTTTGACTAACATAGGGACATATTGTAAAGAGGCTGTTTCATCTTGTCCTCCTTATGATTTGCCTGATGAGGATGATTCTAATAATGACTTGGAAGAACTATTGGAGTATGAAGACATGGATCTTGAGTCATTTGTTTTTCGGAAAGTTGCTGAAGAAGCTGAAGCTAGAAAAAGAGCTAGAGAAAGTGCTACATTTCATACTCATACACCTAGATCACTACTTGGATTGGTAGAAGGTATAAACACTAAGCATAATTCTTGCTTTGCATGGTAAGAGTAACTGTAATAAAAGCAAATTGGTCCTTTTGTATTTATCAACATCTCATTCTTTGTGAGCTATTCCCTTGTAGTAGTAATTGATTGTGATTTAAGGTTTTCTCATCGTTGGAAATTCGAAAATCTTTTGAAGTGAAGATATTTCATAGAAACCACTGAATATTTTGAAAAACTTCAGTGATTTGTGGAAGGATTCTATAACGATTAGCAGAAAATGTGGAATCTACTGAACATAGTTCCAGCAATGATAAAAACCCCATTATGACACAACTCTAGGCTCAAGAGGCTATAAACAATATCTTAATATAACAAGCAAGAGAAGATTAGATAAATAAATCAAGGTTTAAATGTCAGTTTTGTTGGAAATGGCAGACACTCTTAAAATAATATTGGAAAGTTTGTATAGATTTATTGTAAAAATTTTATAACTATTAATCTATGAAAAATGTATTTATATATAAATTTTTAAATCATAGAATTACTTGCTCTTTTGAATTATTATATCATTACAAACTACAAAGTGACAAAAATGATGCTTTTAAAATGATTATACCATTTCAAGATGTCTGCTCCATCCACTTTGAGTAACTAGTAATAATAACAACCCATCAAGAATAATTTGAAGACTGGAAAAATGTGTCTTTTTGAAGGACAGCATTTTATTTGTCTTGTTCCACAGTTACCCATGAAAAATCTAATCCATCTTACCTGTCACGTTTGGAAGCTATTGAAACTAAAATCAATTTTTTTTTTTCCCATGGCAGCCTTTACAGTTTATGTGTTTGTAGTGGTTGTTTGGTTTGCTTATTAGCAAAAGGATTAATGTGGTAGAAAAGATAATTTTTCTATTTACCATTATTTTTGTAGGAAAGAGTGAATTGTTTATGTATACATGTTTTATGCTGTTATTGGGCTGTTAGTGGACTTAATGGGCCTCTTTATTTGTTCTTTTATCAGTTATAGGCCTATTTAGTGGGCCAATTCTTCTTTTGAGTCGTTGTAGGATGTTTTTGTTTGTTGCCACCATTCTAGGGGCTGGTATGCAATTATACCTATCTTATACTTAGAGTATAAATAGGTGGGATCTCACATTGACACCCATGATTTGTTCTTCTCCCATACCACTTCGTTCCCTCTTCTCTCCACTTCTCTACTCTATTTCTTCTCTTCTGCTTCTGAAACTTCATTCTCTAATCAAAAGTAATTAGTTTCTAGTGATCTGAAATTTTAATCATACTTACTGCTCGACAACTTGGTATCAGAACCAAGTTTCCGCCTACATATCATGCAGTCTTAGTCCAGCCAACTACATGAGAGAAGGAGAACTGGAGTGTTTTGTGTATTTGGCTTGGTTTTGGAAACTTTTTGGAGAGATACAGGTTGCTGGGCCAGGGGGCAGTGTCCCAGACCCTTGATTGAGCCCCTTGAGGCAAGCTCAAACAAGTCCATGCTAGGTTCTTAAAATTCTTAACCTTTTATAATTTTAATTATAGTTCCTTCTCTCTTAAATATTATCTTGTTTTAAGATGAATGTAAAAATTGTCTTATTTTTACTTGTTCACTTTGAATATGTTTTATTTATTATGTTTATGTATTTTAATTTGGGTAACAGGCTTTTTAAAATATTTAGATTTAGATTTAAATATGCATATTTTGATTAATATTATTTTTAATATTTGTTTTTTATTTTTTTGCAATTTTTCTGATTTTCTTTTTTGCATTTTGTACTTTTTTTTTGAAAAATTTGCATCTTACTTCAATAAGACACGTGCCTTGCTTTGCACTTTGTGCCTTGGGCGCAAAAATGTCTCTTGCACTTTTTTTGCGTCTTGCGATTAAAACATTGCGTAGGCTATAAAGGTATATATTAGTGGATGTGAGGAACTAGGTTATCTTATAGCTTCTGAGAGAGCCAGACTCACAGGACCCAAAATGTGCTACGTGGGTGCAAGAAGGTATGATGATGATGTCATGGTTGCTTAATTCTATGCAACCTGAAATCAGCCAGATTTTGTTTTCGATGAAAACATCAAAAGAGATTTTGGGATAACACAGCTGAAACATATTCTCAGGCTCTTAATGTGGCCAGAGCTGATTGGTTGAAGTTGGATTAAACATGGGGAGTTGCATATATTTTATTATCTATTACGATTCCTCTTTACAGAGGTCAGCTTAGGAGGTACACCCACCCACAAATCATGTGACTAGGGGACAAAACAACCTTTCTTGGGTTCTGCTTTCTGAAGAAGGATCTTACTGATCAGTTCCCAGTGTTATCCCAAGCTCATATCCTTCTGCTCAAAATATAGCTGTGGCTTGATAGTCTGAATAAGTTGCATCACATCTGGTAAGGACCGGACCTCCCATAATTCATACCAATCACAAAAAAACTTTCCAATACGTCATTTCTCTGAATACAGGGTCCTATATAACCTTTTTTTTTGATGAATAGCAGAAAAAATTTGTCAACATTTTTAGAAGAGTACACCCATTGAAAGTGTTAGCCTCGGCTAACCATCAAGGTACTTACCACAACACAAACAAGATACAAACAGAACCCTTTGAGCATTACAACATAAAAGAGATTCAAAACAGTCCTCAAGTCTTCCTCCAAACAATTTACAGAGTTGCCCAGAAAAGAGGGTCCCTATTATTTTCCCTGTTTTGAAAGATGGTCTGCTAAGTTTTTTGCTGATCTATAAACCTACTGTATCTTCAACTGCATGTCTCTTGTGAACCACTAACAAAGTAGAGAACCAGGTACTAAGGTCCAATTTACCAGCTTACATTATCCTTTGAACCTCACCCTCTCTCTGTTGCCATTATTATATTTAATTCTGCTTGAGAATTGTTGTTATGCCTTTTGAATACCTTGCCACATTTCACATCCATCAGAAGAGCTTCCTTCACATGTTCTAAATATTGTGGCTATAAAACATCATAATGATTAAACTTGAAAAAATAAGTGTTGACTCCATATCTTGATGATACATTTCAATATTTTGAACCTTGCTTCTAGCTACATAACTTGTTAAATTTTCTCCCTGCTTCGGTTTCTCAAATGTTGACTCATTGGTCATTATCACACCATTATTTCGAACTTGCTATGCATTGTCTACCAAGTTATTTGGATCCCCATTGGTGGAGCTTGATCGGTCATGCTATCTGTCATCCTTGTACTTAGGAATTACAGTGCCGTTGTCCAATGCCTAAGGCCAACACTTAGAGGGGCATTGGCAATCAAGTTCTGTTATCTCAACTGAAAAGCCTTTTTAAGTTTTTCCTGCCCTTTGATGAAATAGCTTTTTTTCCTTGCCTTTTCTTTTAATTTTTACCTCCTAATTTTTCATTGCTACGAATGGAGACATGTACCTGCAGATATCCAGGTCTCTGCTGACTCCAAATATAAAAACTGTGATGGTATTGGACAAGGCAGTGAATTTTTAGGCCCTTCACATGATACATTCAGAGGTGATGATCACAACAGTGGACTATTCTTACGTACAAACTGGCAAGTGCAAGGTTACTTAAGAGAGCAAGCAGATTTAATTGAAAAGTAGGTGAAATGTTAAATTTTTTATCTATATATGGATACATTATTGGTGGTGTAGTGCCTCAAGTTGTTTCCTTTTAACCAGGCATGGCAGCTCATTTCCACTGAATGCTTTTGAGTCTATCTTGAAACAACTTCAGAAACTGGCTCCAGAGCTGCACCGTGTAAGTTGCAAAGCTTAGATAATGGAGGTGTTCAGTGTTGACATTGTATATGTTATTCGAAATTATATTTCCTGTCATTGATTAAAAAAGTCTATATTACATTTCTTGTTACTGGATCTTTTCAATTAACCTCTGTTGTTTCCCTTAATTTTTTTATCTTCCAGGTTCACTATTTGCGCTACTTGAATAACCTTTATCATGATGATTATCCTGCTGCTCTTGAAAATCTCCACTGCTACTTTGACTACAGGTAGATGACTAAATCTTATTTGTTTCATTTTACTCTTTCATACATCAGACTGCTGTTGCTAGGTTCTTATCCTTTTTTCATGTGTAGGTATATTTCTGAGTCAACCTAGACCATGATATTGTAACAGCAATTCAGAACTTTGGCTGGAGCCTTCTTCATAACCATGTCTATGTTCATATATATTAACTCTTTTCCTCAATCCCCGAATATGGTTGGATCTTAGCATGGTTGTCAAGGTGTTTGGGCAATCGTTGGTGACAGATGACTACCAAGTAGCCTTAGTGACAGATTTTTACAAGGAAAAAACTAAATTATGGGTTAAATCCCTAATTTTACATACCATCAACATGCATATAAATTGGAAAAACACAATGCTCTTTACTAGTAATTTAACTTTCCTCTCAAAACATAGCAAATGATTGCATCTGAAAGACAATTGTCATGGGGCTTTTCCACTGCACAATCTTACCCTGTGACACTATAGAATTATGTGCAAATTAATTTCAATATTTCAACCACTATACTATAAGTATTTTAACAGAGCAATTGAATGTTATACAAGTTCAGCAACTAAAGAAGGCACTTGGTTGCTGTTAGAAGAGGATGGCAGCTCTGTTATTTCTTTATGTTTGTCTTGTTGGAGTTTCCTGTATTTTCACTTAATGTAATTTCATAATACGGGCATTAGTGTAATTGTACACATTAAAATTTAATATTAAATACTAGCTGGTCGACTTGGAAATGTGACCCTTTTCTCTCCAGTTTGACAGCTGGGTTTCTTCTACTCTCCCGTGGCTGTTTACTGTCTCCCTCTTTTCTACTTTGCTGGTTACTGAATCTTTTAGTTTTTGATCTGCTTTTACATGGTATCAGAGCACTGATTTGGCCAATCTAATTCTTTTCTTTATTTTGTTTTTTTCTTGATTAAGTTGATTGCTCTCTTTCTTTTCTGACTTTTCACAAAATCTAGAGGATCAGACTTGATTAGAGCTAATCGGATTGCTCTGTTAAATGCTTCATGATGGTTCAGATCATCAGAATTGATGCTGTGATTGACTGATGAGGTGAAACCCTCAATGGAACAAAAAATTAGTAGTGGCCAGTGGGCTGATATTCTTCAGACACATCTAAGCTGATTTGGTACATCTACATATGTGGAGCGGATTCAAGAAGATGCACAAATTATGTCCTGGCTTTGGAGTTCAGTGGAACAAAAAATTAGTAGTGGCCAGTGGGCTGATATTCTGACACATCTAAGCTGATTTGGGAATAGTTTTGTAAGGTGTATTCAGGAGGAATAATTTACAAGGATTTATTAGTTGTTCCAGACTTTATATGTACCAGCTGATTACCTCAGATGTTTCTGCATAAAGGAATAACTTTGATGTGGCTAAATTCCTATTAAGGATTAAGCCCGGGTATGAGCCTATTAGATCATAGATATTGGGGACTCCAGAGTTACCTGATGTTGAAGAGGTCTTTTCTCGTCTACATAGAGCTAGCTTGACCCATGATACATAATAGGTCTGCTGTTGCAGTTACTGGAAGTAGTTGAAGAGGAGGTTATTGTGGTGGCCGTAGTGGTCATGGTACTGGTGGTAGAGAAGGTAATGAGTCTAGTCATGGTTGTGGTGGGATGGTAGGACCATTGTGGATTGGGCATACTATTGGCTACTATAAGGAAATATAGGGAGTTTGGGTTTGTTCTCATTCTAGACAAGAGGGGCATACAGTTGAGGCATGTAATCTACTGAACAGGACAGTAAGGAATGCTAATCAGACTGCTCATGATGATAGCCCAGTTACACGGGGTACTACTACCATGACAGTACAGATCACTGCACCTACTACACAGCAGTTAGAGAGTCAAGCAGAAAGAGTAAAAATTATCTTACTAAAAAAGTCAAGCAGAAAGAGTAAACACAAAGAGAAGGGAGGGAGAAAGAGTTTCTGGGTAGAATAGATTGTGGGTTCTCTATCAGAGTCTCACTAGAATTTATATTAGACCATAAACTAATGTAAAGCTACATATGTGCCCCTCAAAAGGCAGAAGAAATGTAAAGACTAGAAGAAACAACATATAAGGCCCATTGGGCCCAATAAGAAAGACGAATTAAAAGACTAATAATAGGCCCAAAATAGAAATATAAAAGAGACAAAACCAGTTCATTGTCAACACTTCCCCTCAAGTTGAGAGTATACATCTATCTTTCCTAACTTGCCAAGTGTACTCTAAAGCTGCAACTGGGATACTCTCTTGGTGAAAACATCTGCCAATGTTGATCAGACTTCACATAAAAAAGACACACTTCTCTAGTCATCACTCTCTCCCTAACAAAGTGATGGTCTACTTCAGTGTGCTTGGCATGATGTTATTAGCTGCCTTATTGTCATAGTAGAGTACCAATGGCTTCTCCCAGGTAATTTCCAACTCACTAACTTTAGAGTTGCAGAGCAATAATATGTCATTTATGTTGCTGTTAGCATGTTATTAGTGTCAGTAAGTTATTTCAATTAATTTTCAGCTGCTGTTTATTTATGTTAATAGTAGGGGTAATATTGTAAGTTTACTATGTTTTAAACTATTATAAATAGCTGAGTGGGGCGGCAATGTGTTATTGACCCACACTCTTTTCTGAATTCTCTTCTTCTTCTTCTTCTTCTTCTCTCTCTCTCTCTCTCTCTCTCTCTTTTCTGTCTCTTCTATTCTCTGAATTTTTTTCTTACTGAATTCACATCTAGAGTGGGACTGATTACAGTCTCTACAAGACAAGTCTAACTAATGACCTCAACCATAATACTTCAGAGAAACCATGAGCTATAGATTTGTTCTTAGCCTCTCTGTTGGAACAAGCTACAATAGATTACTTCTTACTCTTCCAAGAGACTAAGTTACCAGTTACCACCAACAAAAACCCAAAACCCAGACATGGACCTCCTGTCATCAATGCGACCTGCCCAATTAGCACCAATAAACACCTCAATCCAAATATGATCATGCCTAGAAAACAAAATCCCTTTTCTAAGACAACCCTCTAAATCTGCCAAAGTCTTTTGGACTGCTACTAGGTGTGTGGTACGAGGTGTTCTTGTCCTTCGCTAGCTTTGAAAAACTTGTAACTTGTGAGTAGGAGAGGTAATGGTTGGCTCAACAACACTAGAAAGAGGAGTAGGAGGGGGAGGTTCAATGATAGCAAAGGGCACAATGTCTCCTTGCATTGAAGTATCAGAAAAGAAGGGAGTAGACTCAAAGAAAGAAATCTCCTCCCAAAAGTAGGATCAAAGCAACAATATCCTTTTTGATTAGATGTATAACCTAGAAATACACATTTGATGGATTTAGGATCAAACTTAGATCGTTGAGGCCTAAGGACATGGACAAAACACGTACATCCAAACACATGATGGGGAATAGGAAAATAATCAAAATATCTTCCTTGGAGTAAGAGCACTAAAGGGAGTTTTAAATCCAAGGACACGAAAGAGAACTCTATTAACAAGGATGACATCTGTATGAACAACATCACCCCAAGAACGAATAGGTCCATGAGTTCTGTACATAACTCCCCTAGAGACATGAAGAATATGTTTGTTCTTGTGCTCTGCAACTCTGTTTTGCTATGGAATGTAGGCACAAGAACTTTGATGTATAAGACCATAAGAACTCGGGTAAGAAGGAAGATTTTTCTCAAAATATTCCTTAACATTGTCAGAGAAAAAAAGAAGTAAATCAGTCCTCAAAAAACTGATATAAACTTGATTAAAATTAGAGAGAAAAGTGAAAGAAAGGTAGAGGACAGCAGTACAAAAGAAGAAGATGGAGAAAAGAAGAGGAAGAAGAAGAAGAGTTCGATTGTCTCCTCTCTCCCTTCTCTAATCTTTTTGTTGATCTTCATTTTCTAGGTTAATTACAAGTATGCCCTTAAGTGGGCGGCCAGCTAAGCAAGAACTTAAAAGAAACTTATAAAAAGATGTAACAAATCCATAAAGACAGGCCCGTTAACAAACAAATAAATAACACACTACAAAAATAATAAAAGAATAGATACTAGGGCCCATTTGGCCCAGTCTCTCTACACTCTCTGTCAAGCTGAGCATAGATGTCAATCATTCTCTTCTTGCTTATATAGTGTCAGATTCCCTCTTGGAACACCCTTGGTCAAAACATCAACCAATTGCTCTTTTGAAGAGATAAATAGCAAGCAAACTTCCCCTGAAGCAACTATTTCCCGTATAAAATGTCTATCAACCTTGATGTGCTTAGTTTTGTCATGTTGAACAGGATTATGTGCAATGTTGATAGTTGCCTAGTTGTCACAATAGAGCATCATTGGCTTTTCATAGTCAACTCCCAACTCTTCTAAAAGTGATCGCAACCACAGTAATTCTGACACACCATGTGCCATTGCCTTGTACTCTGCTTCAATAGAGGATCTAACAACTACAGATTGTTTCTTACTCCTCCATGAGCCGATGTTCCTTGCCACCAAAGCACAATATCCTGAGGTGGATCTCCTATCATCAATACATCCAGCCCAATCAGCATCGGTGTACGCTTTCGGTTTCATGTGTTCATGCTTGGCAAATAGAATACCTTTCCCTGGAGTACCTTTCAAGTAACACAAAACTCTTTCTGCAACAGCTAAATGTGTATCTCTGGGAGAATGCATAAACTAATTAATAACACTCACTGCATAGGAAATATCCGGTCGAGTCATGTAGAGATATAACAACTTCTCAAGTAATCTCTGAAACACTCTCCTATCAAACAAAAGTTCACCATCAGTAGCAGAAAGCTTATGATTGGGATCTATAGGGGTGGAGGCCGGTTTAGCACCAAGTTTTACCAATCTCTACAAGGAGGTCAAGAACATACTTGTGTTGAGAAATGAAGATACCATCCTTAGATCTAGCAACTTCAATTCCCAAGAAATACTTGGGATCTCCTAAATCCTTGATCTCAAATTTAGAGTTAAGAAACCTTATGAGTTTATTCACCT